GGGCGCTGCGCGCGGGGACGCCCAACAAAGGGGCCCGCGCGGGCGGGTGGCGGGTGCGGTGAGGTGCTGGGGCCCCTTTGTTCCCCCTGCCCGCCTCTCCGGGCTGCCTTGCAACGCGTTGCCCGTTGCAAACAATGAGGAAGGTGCCCGGATGGCATGGCAGGCGGACAAAAGCCCGAGCAAGCGCCTCATGCTGCTCCCCGAGGGATAACGCTGATTTCCAGAGGGCACCCAGGCAGGGCAGGGGGCTGCAAGGCGGCTGGTGCGGACAAGGCAGCGCTGCCCCAAATCTCCTTCGCCTGACCCCTTTATCCTCACGCGCATCCCACCGCCACCACCCCGTCCGCTGGTGTCACAACCCTGCTTTGGGTTTGGGAACCGGGGGTACGGCGGTGTAGGGGTGCACGCGAGTGCACGTGCACCCCCTGAGCATGGCAGTGCCCCCCTGAGCGTGACACAGTGCACCCCCTGAGCATGACAGTGCACCCCCTGCGAAAAGGCTGCTGGCGGTCCGCAATCGCTGCTGGTCGACGTTGCCGGTGGCGTCTGCGGGTGGTCGCCAACCTCTGCTTAGCGCTCGCCACACGTTCCCCTGCCGCCGACCGCACGGTGGCCGCCTGCGGGAGCTCCCCGCTTACCGCCGCCATGCACCTGCCACCTGTGGCAGCTTGCCGTGCCCCCCCAACCTCTGGGGGCGCCCAGCGTTCATGGGCCTTAGGGGAGGGTGAACCAGCCAAGGCCCCACACTTTCGGCGGTCCAAATTTTGTTTGGGGGGGGGGGTGAAGCTTTTGCAAGGAAGTGGCTCTATTTGCATTTTAACACTTGACTATTTATCTAATTCCCCCAAAGGATATTCAAAAGATCCACAATACAACTGTGGTAGGTTAATATTTACCTGAGTACATGCCTCTGAGGGGCCCCAAATGACTCTCTTGCCCAGAGCCCCAACAACCCTAAGGCCACTGCTGTTAGCAGGGTCAGTGCCTGTCATTGGTCCCAGAGCCACCTGGCCCCATGGGTACGGTCAAGCATGCAGGGCTGTGCTGCACTACCAACAAGCTGCCTGTGGGTCTGGAAATTTGGCAGCAGGGGAGTGGCAATTAACACCGCTGCCAAATTTCCAGAGCCAGGGGGCCTGGTGGGCTGGCTCTGGCCCGCAGGCTGGGGGGTGAGCACCCCTGGCCTATGGGATGGGTGGTTTGGGGATTACTGCACTGAATTGCCATTTAGGTTCACTTCTCGACTCGGAGACAGACTCACTGTGCTGTCCTGCTCCAATCACTTATGGTCGCCCCATCTCAATTCTCCTTCTATGAAACGGGATGCAGGCTACCGCCCTTCTACTCTTTGTCTCTGCTGTTTATTAAACCTATAAGCCCTTCAGGACACGGGCTACTTCTTACTCTGACTATGTGCAGTGCTTAGAAGCTTTTGCAGTACAAATAACAATAGCCCCTTCAAAATAAGCCTTAAGGCTAACAAGACCTTGAAATGAGCATCAAGGTTGATAAAATGTTGGCCACAGATTGTCACCCAGGCTATTTGAAACACAGGCGTGGAAATGACCTCAATGAAATTCTTCTGCCTTGGAGAGCTATTGGCAACATGGTAGGAGGGAAAACACAATGGAATTATTAATTATTTATGGAGTATCAACAGCATGATTTCTGGTTCACAAACATAAAAGAAAGACACAGCCTTTTGCCTACAGTCCTGTGCTATGTAGAGCTACAGGCAACCTTGTTATGTTTTGTCACTAATGAGGAAAAACAGCACCGTGATAAATACACCGGCACGTGGCTGAAAGCTGGGATGTGCCCCGTGGCTGTATGTTATCAACATGCCAAAATTCACACTGATTACGGTAAAAGAAATAAGACCGTAAGTCCTGCAGGCTTAAGCTTCAAAGGGGGATGGTGAAGCCACCCACTCCTGCTGCCGCTCTCCCTGGCAGAAGGTTTTTGTACATGGAAGAAATGACCAGCATAACTGTTTTGGAATAATTATGCCACAACCACTATTCAGTAATAGCTCCTCATGTAGATCCTCTCTTCTGAAACAAACATGACTTTAGTATAATAGTGTAACAATGAAGTGGGGATTTGATAGCAGCCTTTAACTACCTCAAGGGTGGTTACAAAGAGGATGGAGCTGGACTGTTCTCAGTGGTGGCAGATGACAGAACAAGGAGCACAGGTCTCAAGTTGCAGCAAAGGAAGTTTAGGTTAGATATTAGGAATAACTTTCTCACTAGGAGGGTGGTGGAGCATGGGAATGGATTACCCAGAGAGGGTGTAGACTCTCCATCCTTGGAAGTTTATAAGACCCTGCTTGACAAAGCTCTGGCTGGAATGATCTAGTTGGGGATGGTCCTGGGGGGTTGGACTACATGACCTCCTGAGGTCCCTTCCAACCCTAATTTCCTATGTTTCTATGATATTCCAGAATAACTATGCCAGTCAATTTTCACCATGTAGAAAAGCCCTTGCAAGGTTTGTTAGTTATAATCTCCAAGAGTATTTGTGTTGGAGCAAATATAATTGACACCAAAGGACAACAAGTATTTCCTGTGCTTTTGTATACCCAGGTAATTTAATACGTGGGCTGGACGGAAATTGTTTGACTTTTTTGGGGCGGGGTTGGAAAACCAACTTCCAAGCAGCCAAGGAGCTTGGCAAGCTGGAAAGTGCAAATCAGGCAGCTGGAATTCATGTCCCAGCCACTGGACAGGTAAGCAGAAAGCTAGCCAACCTGCTTCTCCTCCTGAGTTCATTTGAACATATTGATGAAGTCAGTATATTCCCCTGGAGCATTTTGATTCTATCATATCAGCATGTTTAACAATGGAAGTGTCCCTCTGGAATTTTTTTTCCCAGCTCTGTCCCAGAACTATCCCATCCTATCCCTCACAATAACTCAATGACACATATAGCTCACTTTTGACACCCATTACAATACATGGTACACAATACATTTTTTATTTAATTCAACATTAATTGCAAAGCAAGGTAATGAAGCCTCTCCAGGAGTTGGTTTTCAAAGCACCCAGCAGCACTTGGCTGCACAATTCCCATTAAGTCAATATGTATTAAGTGGTTTTTGACATTGCCGAGCACGTTTAGGTAGGAAGATCTCAGAAATGACTGTAATGCAAAAATGTACAAATGTGCCTGAAGAGCAAGGCTAAATCACAGTCCAGCTTGTGAATGTAGAAGGAGGCATGTGGCTCTTCTGTTCTATAAAAAGCACGCTCTGTGAGTACAGTCATTTTCAAGCACCTTGAGATTATATTTGGAGGAAAATTGTTCTGTAAATGCATAAGATTATTATTAACATTCCCTACATTTTATCAGCACAAACAGCTTCTCTCACCCAGTGAGCATGAACAGCAAGCGACAGCACATTCTGGCTATTGCTGTTGTCAGGAACGCTTCCTCTTTAATTGGAGAGCCTGTACCTGTGGGAGCCAGTCGGGTTCTGCATAAATTGCTCCCTGACCACACTGGAGTGTTCTTTCTTGTTGTTTCCTGTACAGTAGAAAATGCAATCTGTGTCTAAAAGGAGATTTCCAAGTGGTTTAGCCTTAAGTTTTATGTGGAATATTGCTCATTTTTATTATTATGGAGACATTTTTATAATAAAATTAACACATTTGCTTTCAATATTCCCTCCCCCCTGTTCACCACATTTGAAACCCGTACATTACAGTTTTGTAATATTGCCTGAGACTCAGACTGTGAGAAGCATGAGTCTGCTTTTTGCTGTTGGAGCTGAACAAAATGCAGTAAATAAACTGCATTAGTGTTGGAAAACAAGCATATTTTTAGAAGTCATTCTGGTTTTATGTTTGGGAGTAGCATTAGTAACATGGACAAAGAAATTTAAAACATATGTAAGCATTTTTAAATATACCAGGGCTCTGTAAATGCCATACCTTCTGTGAGGTCGTTCTGAAACTGCATCCTTTGCCCCAGCTAAAGTCCTGCGCATGCTAGGGAAAAATGTAACCAAATAAAGTAAAATTAGAGCTTCGAGCATTTCAAGCTATTCTTAAATCTTGTCTGCACTATAGCTTGAGACACTTCAGTGGTTTAGGCAAAGTATCTGCACTACTAGAGACCCTGCAACAGCTTAAAAACATGACTGACATGAATCTAGAGGTCTGAGATTAAGGTAAAGTCACTTTGATGCAAGCCACCCTTTACCAAAGCAATATGTCTGGGCTAAGAGTTTAAATTGGCTCAGCTACATTGGTATAGACATGTGGATGGCCAAACCCCCAACACAGACAAGTCTTCCATTAAGGGCACAGACAGAATTTGTCATGCAATCAGCTCCCTGAAAGTGCTCTATAACCATGAGAAGGCACACATGTACGGCTGCAGAGCACTTTAAAAGTGGCTGATCGCACGACAAATTAACTCTCATCAAATGAGGAATCAGATGAAGGTGCTCAACTTTCCAGTGCCTTAGGGAACTTGTGTTCCCTAGAGTTATT